TGAGAAATAGCTAGCGCTCCTGAATTCCTTTCTCCATTAGATTTTATTCCCCTGGAACCTTAGATTTTATTCCCCTGGAACCTTAGGGTATGTCTACACTACCACCCTAGTTCGAACTAGGGTGGTAGTGGAGACATACCCTTACTCCCACTGAAACACGTGAAAGGCAAGGGCTTGTCTACACTTACAAGGCTGCTTACACTTACAAGGTACTGTCATAGCACTTCATTGAAGATGTTACCCATGTCAATGGGAGGGCTTCACCTGTCAATGTAGGTAATCACCTTCTCTGAGAGGCAGTAGGTAGGACCTTCTCCGCCCTCCCGTGCCCAACTCACGCTGTGTCTAGACTACATCCTTCTGTCAACAGAGGGATGTAGTCTAGACACAGTGATAGTGCTGTCGCCACCAGGCATTAACTCGGTATGTCTGCGACACTCAGGGGAACAGATGATATAGAGGGAGACTGGGGGTCAAGTGCCTCCCAGATTTCCTAAGAAGGCTCTGGCCTTCTCCTTCTGTGCCAGCCTCTCCTTGGCCCCCAGCCCTAGTATCTGGGCCTGGCAAGGAATAGAAGGGGAGGGACCAGCCACTTCTCTGGGTTGCTGCTCTGTGCAGCATGGCAGCTACTTGAGAGCCCAGGTGGCAGGGGGCCAACTCCTGCCCGAGCCTGGCTGCCAGAGACAAAAGCTGAACAAGTCAGAGCACCCGCTCCCCATGGCGTGTTTACAACTCGCTCAGCCCTTGTCCCCAGCAGCTGGGTCTGAGTAGGGGACAGCCCATCGCTGCTGCCATCTCCCCAGCCAAGCTCTTTCTCAGGCAGCTGCTGTGCTGCACAGATTAGTGACCTGAACTGGCCAGCTACAGCAGTTCTGTCCCACTCCCCGCTTGGGCTCAGTTGCCAGAGAGCAGCCAGATATGCTAGAGCCAAGTGGGAGAAGGACAGAGCCTCCCCTCCCAACCCTGTGCAAGTAATTAATGAGTCAGGAAGAGTGCAGTGGCTCCAGGCTGGACACAGGCCAGGGGGAAGGGATCACACATAGAATGACGTAAGTGGTCTATGCTAAGGGGTTTGAATTTGCTAGATCCCTGAGGGATGTAGTTATACCAACATAAAGTTGCTAGTGTGGACCAAGCCTCCTCATACAGTTCAAACTTCAGGAAGTCAGAATTAGAGGACCCCTCTAACACAGCGTCACAGGTGGGTTCTGAATTAGAGAACTGAGCCCAGAACACTGCAGAGTAGCTCTGACCCATATTTTTTCTTTATTCTCAAGTTTATTTCTAACCTATCATATCTGTATCTGCGTGATTTCAGAGGAACAGCAAGGAACAGAATTTTAGTTAATTCTAGAGAAGGTTTAGGAATCCCTTTTTAGGAGAGAGTGCAAAATGTATAGCTCTGAGTTCTTGAGTGCTGGTTCAATAATCTTTTACATTTGGTTTCTAAGTAAAAAACACAACACTAAAATGTACTGTATGTTGTTCAAATTTTCTAAATTTTTTATGAAAGCACTCAAGTTCAGAGCCTTTCAGCATTCAACAGAAACTAACAGGTGAGTTTTGTAAATGTGTTTAGCAAATGTGTATTACATTTGTTACCTAATTTATTAAAATGTGTAAGCTTGATAGTTCAGTGGGTGGATTTTAAAAGTTTTAATTCAGGTCACTCAGTCTGTCTTCATGATCATTTCATACACTGTATTATCAAACATATCCTCATTTCAACTACAGCCACTCTCCGACTTACGAACACACTGACTTACGACCACCCGTACTTCTGACCAACCTGCCATTAACCCCATTATAATATTTTCGAGTTGAGAACCATGTATGTTGAATTGAGAACCATGTACGTCAAGTTTTTCGAACAGTGTAGGCAGCACTTTTAAGGGTATTTCCGACTTACGACCAAATCGAGTTATGACCAGATGTTCAGAACGTAACCCGTTTGTAAGTCGGGGACTGCCTGTATACACTACAGTTAGGATGTATCTACACAGCACAGTTATTTTGAAACAACAATGAGAGCATCTACACAGCAATTTCGTTACTTTGAAGTAATTTTGAAATATCAGACAGCTTATTTTGAAATCTGTAAACCTCATTCCACAAGGAATAATGCCTATTCCAAAATAGCTGTTTTGGAATATCAGTAGTGTGGATGCTCTACTGCTGCTATTTTGAAATAGCTCCACCCTCAGGCCATTCAAAGTAATTACTCCCCAATGCCTTCCGGGGACTCTAAATCGAGGTAGCATGTCCACGTTAGGGAAGCCTGCCTCAGACTAATTTTGAGGCTTCCCTGTAGTGTAGATGTGCTATTTCGAAAAAAGCTATTTCTGAAAAAAAAATCCAAAATAGCTTATTTTGAAATAAGCGTGCTTTGTAGATGAACCCTTACTGTGTAGCCAGAACTAACAGTAGAATGACAAATATGTGTTCTGTGAGGCACAAATACAGCTGCTACTGAAATCTGTGTGAGTTCCACATTTTGGTAGAGAGGACATTATACAAGGCCTGAAAAAAGCCCAGGTTTCAATCTTCCTGATATCCCAAAACTACTCTCTACTCCTATCATCATATTTATGTGATCAGCCTGTGAATTACAATACAAACTTCACTGACTTCACTGAGCTTGTACAAGGGATGAATTTGACCCGTTAAATACAATAAGTACAGTGGTTTTATAAAGGAAATTAAATTCAATAGCCCATAGTGGAAAAGGCTAGGGTTTGGTCTGTTTGGTCTTCAAAACCCTCTGCCAGAACTAATGTCCAAATCCAAATTCCAGTTCCTCCAATTCAGTTACAGAAGTTGTTTTCACTATAGAGAGGCGAATAATCCCTGATGAAAATGTGTTTGTGTGTTTTTGAGTTTGTCATTTCCATTTTTTCTCTGCTCTGAATCAGTTACTTTTCCTCTGCTTTGTTCTGTGGGATTGTTCCACACCTCCGTCTCCTTTAACCATTAGAACTCCCATGCCACCATCATTAAACTGTGCCATACACTTGCATCATCAGTGAAAGAGTCACGTTCAAATGCTGTCCCCAGTGAAGTCATTGGGAGTTTTGCCATTAGCTTCAATTCAGCCAGGATTTCAACCACACCCATTGTAGCTGGAGAGGGTGAAGGAGATTAACCATAATTGCAGTGGCCTAATGCTTCTAGAAGCTTTATGCCAATTGCTTGTCTTTTGGTCTGGACCTTTTTTTTCCATAACCTATTTTGCTATACTGAAAATAAAACATGCTCCAGATTTTTCAGGCTGGGAGTTTGTTTTAATATTCTTGCATGACTTGGGATCTTGGTATGTTATTTATCTCTTTGTTTCTTTTCACAGACTATAAACTCTAACATATCCCTCTCCCTTTTTTTCTGCCTAGCTACTTGATAGTTTATGTTCCAACAAATTTACAATTTGGTCATCTACAGAGCTAGTTTTTAGTTTGTCATCTCTCTAGAGAGGTGAACTGATCCAGCTTCCCACTTATTGTGGATTCAGTTTTAAGCCAGTATCTTCCATTCTGAGTACTATGACAACATTTCTTAGGTGGTGGGTTTGAAAGTTTTTTCTTTGGACTCATTAATTTTTGTGGTTGACTTTCACTTAGGAAACATTGTGAGAAGAAAAGGAGAGAAAACACAAATAAAATTGAGACAGCTTCACAGCTGGATTAGAGTAATTCATATGACTTCAGTTGACCTCCACTTAGTTACACCTGCTAAAGATCTAATCTAGCTCAGTATATTTATATATAACATATATATATTGCACTGACAAATATTAGCCTACCTTATGGAGTGAAGGAAATGGCTCTTCTGTCCCTACAGTACTCCCCACCTTCCCTTTAGCAAAACAAAAAGAACCACCAACAACCAGCACACGCTAACTCAGAGGCTATGTCTAGACTGCAAGCCTCTTTCGAAAAAGAGCGTCTAGACTGCAAGCAGTACTTTCGAAAAAGCAAGCCGCTTTTTCGAAAGAAAGCAGCGAGTGAGTCTGGATGCTCTCTTTCTAAAAAGCCCTGTTGGCATTCAAGAACGCCTTTTATCGAAAGAGCACTTTCGAAAAAAGGCGTTCTTCCTCGTGAAATGAGGTTTACCGCCGTCGAAAGAAAAGCCGCGTTCTTTCGATTTAATTTCGAAAGAACGCGGCTGCAGTCTAGACGCAGGTGAAGTTTTTTCGAAAAAAGGCTACTTTTTTCGAAAAAACCCCTGAGTCTGGACACAGCCCTAGAGGGGAAACTTCCTTCACTATCACATTTCTCCCTTAGAAAATGAAAATTCAGCAACTGCTATTAGGGATTTCTGTCATTTTACAGACACAGAGCTGTGGTCATAAGAGGCATTTTACTTTATCTTCCTACCAATTGCATTTGTAAACAAATGGCTTCTTAATTAGCCTTGTATTATTAAATAACATGTATCCAGATTAGAAACAAACAGTATATAATCAATGGTAATAAACAGAACATACAGAAATACTCAGTGAAACTGTTTTTAAATACCATAAACAAAGTAGGAAAATGATGTGGCCTAACAGATTAGCAGATCTTCACAAACTGGAAATGGCACACAAGTATGTTCTGCTGGCATGCTAAGGGGCTAATTTTTCGACAGGGCTACTGTTGAAAACCAAGCTATATGTGAAATGGTGTACTATACACATATAGAGTGATTGATTTGGACTGTTGCTGAGCCTCCATTTCACTTCAACAATTAAATGGAGTTGCCTACAATTAACAAAGAGAAACCTTGTAAAACAATCACACATCTGGGTTCCAGTTTAATTCTTAAAAAGGAAAAAATAATTCTAGGCTATTTCTCATAATTAGAATAGTCATAACTCATAAACATCTGGAACATAACTCCAGAATCCTTTTAATAATCAAACATCTGTTGTCACTCTGCTTTCTTTTGCTGCTATTCTTCCTTCTCCCCCCCCCCACTGGTTCTTTGCACTTGCTTTATTCACATTATATCCCCTCCTTTCACAGTGGCAAGGAAAATGTTGCTGCAGCAGCTGAACACAGGTAATGTTTGCTATGTATTCTCTTTCTCTCAGACTTTTACCTAAACATATGTAAGATGCACTCATTGAACAGAGGAATCATATTAGATTAGAACAGATGATTAAATCTGTGTTTCAGATTAGATTATTTGTTAGAGATGTTCATTTTATTTGGGATTTTTGAAAGATTGCTGGCCAAGTAACAGAATGTACTGGAATTATGCAAAATATGACACCTTACCTTTAATTCTAGAAAACAGAAAAATAAACAGTATTCGGGCAATGTTTTTGGAGTTCTATATTGTAGCTTGAACAGAGGTTGAGCAGTGGTGAGCAATCCAGAAGTTCAAGAACCATTTCAATTTTTAATCAGATTTCAGTGTTATGGTGCAAGGTGGTCTATAGTTTTTTTAAATCTAAATTAATGGAACTGCTTAGCATATTACAAACAATTCTGAATCTAATTCTTGAGTTGTATTGATCATGGATTAAAAAATAATAATCCTTCCTATGCATGGTAATTCTTGCATTTCTATAGTGCTTTTCTTCCCAAACGATCCCAGTGCACGTACAAAATGTATAATCTATCCATGTGTATATCTATATTATATACATGTATGATGATAATATAATTTCAGCACTAACCACTGAAATGCAGCTGCTTCTAAGATGAAGCATTGCCATTGTTTATCAGAGCATAGCAACTCTTCCTAATAGTTTATGCCAAGAAATAAGGATTTAAGCAGTGCCTTCCTCCGATATCTTGATTACTCCACATGCAACAAGGATTTACATATGCTTTTTAAAAATTCATATTAGAACAACTATCACAGAGAATTAAAATCAGAGTAAGTGCAAGGATTGTCATCATGACCAGTCATGTATTCCCAAAAGTAAGGAAAAAATCCAATGGCTTACTGGGTCATACTAAGTAAGATGGAGCAGCGAGGCAGAGAGTTGCTATATGAAGTAATTAACAACCACATCATCATTAAATAACAAAATCAGGAAATTAAGGGTAGTATTTAACACTATTGCTTATATAGGACTGACCACCACAAGACTACACGTTTGTTTCATTGAAACTTAACTACAGATCTCTTTACTGGACTGATTTGAACAATTCAGATACTAGCTGGCTCTATCCACTGAATCACTGGTGGTTGGTTGTGCTGTAACATGTCTTTGCCTCCATTGTTTCCAGTGTTTCATTTCTGCTAGGTGTCTAATTTTGATACTATGATGTCAATAATGTGGTCTCCAGTTTTTGCTGAAGGATAAAGAAGACTGTAATGAACCAGTAGAGATCTCTGTCCTGGTTCTCAGAATGACTCCTGGCCAGTCTTTAATACAGCATTGAAGACTGTATGATTTCACGTATGATTCTGCACTGGTATCAAAAGGGACTCATGGAATAAAATAGAAGAACAGTGGAGATTTGCTGATGTAAATCTCTTTCAAAATAGGCTTCAGTTTTCAGACTGAAATCTTTTTTTCATCAAACCAAGAGCTAACCTGGCTTTTTTTTTAACACTGAGGTTTAGCAGTTTTCCTGCAGTCCTTTCCCAATTCTATGAAATATTAAGTCCTACATCAGAGGGGTAGACATGAGTGTTCTGACATGATATCCTGTTTGCTAGATTTCATGGTAAGCATAAGGAACTCAGAAAACTAAGTGCAATAACTAAAACACTTCTCACCTAAAGACACTAGCTACTTTTTTGGCTGGAGCTCTTCCCACTTAAAGACCTAATATTCATTTAAGCAACTGTTAATTTGGTTAAAAATATAACTCATGCACATACACCCTTCTAATCTTTGTTACCCAGTCCTACAGGTTCTCATCCTATGGCACAGTGTGTGACCTCAAGTGTTTGGCATCCTTCTAAGTCCCGCACCATGGATGCCAACATTGACAAAGCTAAGCCAGTGGCCTCCAAGGGTTCCGTGAGGTATGGAACGGATGCAAGTCAAAGGGAAGCCAGTTACATCAGGACTGGCCAGAAAGCCCCTCTTACTTCATCCAGTAATCAAAGGTACACTGCAACATGTAACTCCATAACTGACCTGGCTTGTGGCTTTGGTATGGTTTTGTAATAACATTCTCTAACTCTTTCATATGAAAAGTCCCTAAAAGGCAAATATCTAACTACTGTAAATTTCACCAACTTTTAGTTCACATGCTTTCAGCTGTGACTTTCTAAATAGCTTGCTCTACCACTAGGCAGGTCATAGCTACATAGGAACCAACCATCTCCAGAGACCCAGCCACCCATTCTTGTGAATGAATACACAGGTGGCATTTGAGCAGAGCTCTTCTTTCTACAAATGTGAGTCCAAAACACATCTATGCTGTGTTCTGCTATCAATGCAGTCTCCATCTCTTCCATCATATGCTTCAATAGAAGAAATTATTTCTTTGACTTCTCATTTTGATTTCTCTTCCCGACAATTTCAAACCTTCATCCTACCAGAGATTTGTCTGGAACACCTGAAACAAAAACAACTTTGGGCACTGCTTAAAAGACACTAATTCGTGCTTTAATAATCTGTTCTTTAGTTACTACAGGTTGGACCTCCTTGGTCTGGTTCCCTCAGGATCTGATCCATCCCAGATGAGGGTTTTTGCTGAACCAAGGAAGGTCATTTCTAGGCCCTCCCACAGCAGCAGTAAATCCACGGCCTTGCTGCCAGCCTCCCAGCAGGTTTCCCCTTGCCACTGTCCCCTCCACACTCAGGGCTCATAGCCCCATTGTGGTGGCCCTGCTGCTGGCACTCACAGCCCCATGGCTGGACTCCCAGCCTCATGGGGAAGCCTCCCTGCTGGGGTCCAGCTACACTGCTGGGTGACTGCCCTGCTTGGGTTTCAGACATGGTCAGTAGCCCCACTGCTTCCCAGCCTCACCAGGCAGCTCTGTAAGCATTAGTGGGGCTGCCACGCTCTTTGCTGGGCTGCCAGGCAACAGCCCTACTCCTGAGGTCCTGGCCCTGCCGCCAGGCAGCCCTGTGGTCAGGCCCCCAGCCCCGTGGAGCAGCCGCATTGCCTCCCAGTTTTGCCAGGCAGTTTTGCTGCTAGGCTCCACCCTCTGCAGTGTCACCACCAGGTGGCAGCCTTGCTACTATTGGGCTCTAGCCCCGCTGCAGGGCTCCCAGCCACCAGCCCTCCACCAGGGCTCTCTGGTGGACCAGGGAGGCTGCCAGACCAGAGAGTCCTGCTTAAGAGAGTTTCAACGTGTAGTGCAAGATGCTTAGACCTGGAATCTCAGGATGTGTCTACATAGCAAAGTTATTTCGGAATTACGGCTGTTATTCCCAAAAAACTATGCGAGCATCTACACGGCCATTCCGTTATTTTTTATATAATTTTGAAATAACAAATGGATTATTCTGACTTCTGTAAACCTCATTCTACGAAGAATAATGCCTATTTCAAAATAGCTATTTCTAAATAAGGCGTGTGTAGAGGCTCCACTGCCGCTATTTCTAAATAACCTCTCACCAGGGCCATTCTAAGTTATTCTTCCTGCAGCTCTAAATCGAGATAGCACGTCTACATTAGGGAAGCCTGCCTCAGGCTAATTTTGAGGCTTCCCTGCAGTGTAGACGTGCTATTTCGAAATAAGCTATTTTGGAATAACTATTCTGGAATCGCTTATTCCAAAATAACTGTGGAGTGTAGACGTAGCCCTATAGGGCTAGGACTCTTTTCAGGTATAGGAGTGTAATTGGTATTTATTTGTAAGTGTTTGTGTGTATGTATTTTAATGATGTTATAATCTGCTTAACCTCTGCTTAACTGTGTTCCTTCTCATGAGTGACCATCAAAATGGTAACAGAATATATGTGTGTGTGTGTGTATTCATCCACATAACTTTAGTGTGCTGAACATTTCATTGTATAGTTGATTAAAGAGCTGTTTAAAAATGTATATTTCCTTTGATTATCCCCTTAAAATATAAAATACTATAAATACTGTTGGAATGGGGTGGGTTGTTAAACGTGAACTGGCAAAGAACCAGCAGGGAAAGAAGAGTAAATCACTGTAGAGTACTTAATCATACAATTATTATTCATGCTTTGATATATGGTAGCTTTCATTTTGTAAACTGGGACTTCATAGTCAATCAGTGGATATCTGAGGAACTATTAGGAATCTCTCTTCCAATATGGAGACCTCCTGTCTCTGTCACTGATTCTCATTGTGGTCTTTGGTTACTCTGAATTCTGCCCCCTGTTAACATGTACAACCAACTGAACAGATGTAAACAGAGGGCAGAATTCCCTTTGGATTTGTTTTCTCATTTCTAAAAAGTTCCAAGAGTTAATGTTTATAAAGAGCTTTCACTGTTCATTGTATAAATGCTAAGGAGCATTGTTCTACTCCCAAAAAGGAGAGATTTGCTAAATCACCACACATTTTTACAGCTTGCTCTTTCATATGTATGGGATGTTCCTCCAGCAGACACAAGGATGCAGATTAGACCAGTCGCAATTGCAAATCCGCGGGGGATTTAAGTATCCCCCGCGGCATTTGCATTTACATGGCTGCCGCTTTTTTCCAGCTTGGGGATAAGCCGGAGAAAAGTGCCAGTCTAGACGTGATTCTCCAGAAAATAAACCCTTTTCCGGAGGATCTTTTATTCCTACTTTCAAGAATAAAAGATCCTCCGGAAAAGGGTTTATTTTCTGGAGAATCACGTCTAGACTGGCACTTTTCTCCGGCTTATCCCCAAGCTGGAAAAAAGCGGCAGCCATGTAAATGCAAATGCCGCGGGGGATACTTAAATCCCCCGCGGATTTGCAATTGCGACTGGTCTAATCTGCATCCCTTTTCCGGAAAATGGGTGCAGTGTAGACACAGCCATTAGGTGTAATCCTGGCTCTGATTAAGTCAATGGCATACCATCCATTGCCTTTAGCAGAGACAATATTTCCAGGCTATGCTTCTATAGGAGTTAATACAAAAACTGATTTCAACAAAACTGCAAGCGTTCATAAAACAGGGAACAACCAGTTTCTGCTGTCATTACACTGTTGTAAATCTGGCATGATTCCAATAAAGACTGTGAAGTTACTCTGTATATTAATGGTAAAAGTAAGTAGAATATTAGGTCCAAAGTGCAGAAGTTAAAGGTAGCAAAATCACGTTGCTGTCTTAATTATTTACATATGATTTGTGTAACTATTTTCTTATTTTCTAGAATCATTAATATAGATCCTAGTGATCTGAAGTTGCAGGAGAGAGATTTAGGCCTCTGTGACTTTGATTATAAGTACCTAAGTAAAGAAACTTTAAAACCATGTAATATGGCTTTGTAAACGTCTTTATAATGTATTCTAATGTGCTTCTGTACTGTTTTGTTATATCTGCTATATAAAATGCCCATCTACATCAAACCTGTCCCCACACAGGAATGTCTACACAAGCTCTTTGTGTTCTTTTGTTTGATTAATTATTGGGACTATGCTTCAGCTCACATTTAAAAGTTCCACCACAAAAACTGAATAACCCTGGCTTATATTCATGGAGTGAAACTCTGATCCCATTGAATCCTGTTGCAAATTCCCATCGACTTTAGTGGGAACAGGATTTCACCCATGCCTTTCTGTTTTGCTGATTTGTGTTTCCTCTTAAGAAAAAAACACAGTAAATCCCATTTTGTTTGAAGCATGATTTCTGTTCATGAAAATGTGCTAAGCCTAAGACATAAAAGTAAAATTTTAAGTGTCTGCACTTTGATGTGAGATCCAGTCCAAAAAGAGGACATGCAGCAACCACACTGCTTGCAGAGACGGTTAGATATAGCGTGTGTGTAAATGTGGTAATGCACTCACAGCCGTGAAGCCAGGGAATTGTACAGCTACAGCAGTATATGCTTTAAATTGAATGCAGAATGTATTGGAATAGTGTCTGAGGCAAATGAATCCACAGCATGCTGACATTAGATTTGAGTTTTGCACATGTGTATGAAGGTTGGAAAATTTCTGAAAAACCCAAATTGTAGATGTGGTGGATAGTTTCACTAGTTTATTTCTTCTATAGTTAATGGTAAACACAATATATAAAGAGAAAGAGGTGGATGGTTGCTTTTGTAAATATAAATTTGTTTCCTTTTGCCATTTCTTTCTTTTTTTATTTTGTTTATTCTTCAAATGTGATAGTTCCAAATGATTGGGGTGTGTTTATTTCATTTTTTGTCAGCTGGCTAGGAAATTCACTATTGTGTTGTTTACGTCAGTATCATTAAGATATGTTAGTGCAGGTCCTGGAATTCGGAGAGTTTCTTCTGAACATAGCATGTGCTGTTTGTGCTGGAATGGCCTGGCACTCAGGTGAGGCAGGTTCAATTCCTGGATGAGTCACAAACTGCCCATTCTACTTTTGTGCAACTTAGTTAATCTACACTATGCTTCAGTTTTACATCTGTAAAATAGGATAACACTTCCTCACTTAACCTGCCTGGTCACTCAGTCATGGATTTAAAAGGAGCTGTTCTACAAAGGAATTTAACTAACCAATTACAGAGACATCCTGCAGAACTGGAATCATCAGCAGATTTGACGTGTTTCCCTGGGCTTGAACAAAGACATTAACTGTTTGGCACATTCCAAAGCCAATTTCTCTTGCTTTCAACATCTGCATTTCCACATCAAAAGCTATATATGGGACACATACAGCCCACTTAATTAGCCTCATTAACATAGGTCCTACAATTGACAAATACATCTTCTGCTGTTATACATATTTTTTTGTGTCTGTTATTTCCGCTCCAATTCATCTGATGAAGTGGGTTTTGCCCACGAAAGTTCATGATTCTGTATATTTTGGTTAGTCTCTTTTAAGGTGCCTCAGGACTACTTATTGTTTTTAAAATTACGGACTAACATGCCTATCCCCTGAGGTTTATTAGTAGCATTCATAGAATCATAGAGTTAGAAGAGACCTCAGGAGATCATTGAGTCCAATCCCCTGCCCAAACCAGGACCAACCCCAACTAAATCATCCCAATCAGGACTTTATGAAGCCAGAACTTAAAAACTTCTAGGGATGGAGATTCCACCCCCTCCCTAGGTAACCCATTCCAGTGCTTCACCACCCTCCTAGGAAAATAGTTTTTTCTAATATCCAATTTAGATCCAGGGCTGGATTACCCAATACGCAGACTAAGTACGTGCTTAGGGCACCAGCAAAGCAGGGACACCAAAAAACAGAGATTTTACGGTATAGTATTGTTTTTATTTTGAATTACATATGGGGGGACACCATAATCTTTTCAGTGCATAGAGCCTCTAAAGGTCTTAATCTGGCCCTGCTTAGATCCTCCGACCCTTCTCCCCTACGCACACACTGCTACTTTAGACCATTGCTCCTTGTTCTGCCATCTGTCACCACTGAGAACACCCACTATCCATCCTGTTTGGAACCCTCCCTTCAGGTAGTTGAAGGCTCCTATAAAATCCTCCCTCACTCATCTCTTCTGTAGGCTAAATAAGGCCAAATCCCTCAGGGTATGTCTATACTTGCAGCCTAATTCGAAATAGGACTGCAAATGTAGGCATTCGATTTAAATATCCTGCGCTTGATTTGCATCTTCCTGGCCGGGTGCCATTTTTGAAATCGACAAGCTCAGAATAACTGCCCACGTCTACACGCGGCAGTGAAACGGGCATTTGAAATAAAGCCCTATTTCGAAATACCCGTTATTCCTCCTGCAATGAGATTTAACAGGTATTTCGGAATAGGGCTTTATTTCGAATGCCCGTTTCACTGCCGCATGTAGACGCAGGCAGTTATTCCAGGCTTGTCAATTTCAAAAACGGCACCCGGCCGGGAGGATGCAAATCAAGCCCAGGATATTTAAATCCCGGGCTTGATTTGCAATTGCGAATGCCTACATTTGCAGTCCTATTTCGAATTAGGCTGCAAGTGTAGACATACCCTCAGCCTCTCCTCATAAGTCATGTGCTACAACCCCCTAATCATTTTCATTGCCCTCCGTTGGACTTTCTCCAATCCATCCACATCCTTTCTGTAATGGGGGCTCCAGAATTGGATGCAACACTCCAGATGTGGCCTCACCAGTGCCAAATAAAGGGAAATAATCACTGCTCTAGATCTACTGAAAATGCTCCTCCTAATGCACCCTAATATGCCATTAGCCTCCGTGGTTACAAGGGCACACTCTTGACTCATATCCAGCTTCTCATCCACTGTAATGCCCAAGTCTTTTTCTGCAGAACTGTTGTTTAGCCAGTCGGTCCCCAGCCTGTAACTATGCTTGGGATTCTTCCAACCCATGTGCAGGACTCTGCACTTGTCCTTGTTGAACCTTATCAGATTTCTTTTGGCCTAATCCTCCAGTTTGTCTAGGTCACTCTGGATCCTATCCCTTCCCTCCAAAGTATTTACCTCTCCCCCTAGCTTAGTGTCATCTGTGAACTCGCTGAGGGTACAATCCATCCCCTCATCCAGGTCATTAATCAAGATGTTGAACAAAACCATCCCCAGTGCCAATCCTTGGGGCACTCCACTTAAAACTGACCACGAACCAGACAGTGAGCCCTTGATCACTACCCATTGAGCCTGACAATCTAGCCAGCTTTCTGTCCACCTAACAGTCCATTATCCAATCCATACTTCCTTAACTTCTTGACAAGAATATTGTGGGAGACCGTATCAAAAGCTTTGCTAAAGTCAAGATATATCATATCCACCACCTTCCCCATGTCCACAGAGCTAGTCACTTCATCATAGAAGTTAATCAGGTTGGTGAGGCATGACTTGCCCTTGGTGAATCCATGTTGACTATTCCTAGTCACTTTCCTCTCTTCCAACTGGTTCAAAATGTATTCCTTGGGGATCTCCTCCATGATTTTTCCAGGTAATAAGGTGAGGCTGACTAGTCTATAGGTCCCTGGATTATCCTTCCCTTTTTTTAAAGATGGGCACATTTGCCTTTTTCTAATCATCTGGGACTTTGCCCGATTGCCACGAGTTTTCAGTGAAAATGGCCAATGGCTCTGCAATCACATCGGCCAACTCACTCAGCACCCTCGGAAGCATTAGATCCAGCCCTGTGGATCTGTGTATGTCTAATTTTTCTAAATAGTTCTTGACCTGTTCTTTCTCCACCAAAGGCTGCCCACCTCCTTCCTATGCTGCATTGCCTAGTGCATTTGTCTGGGAGCTGACCTTGTCTGTGAAGACAGGCAAAAAAACATCGAGTACTTCAGCTTTTCCCAAATCATCTGTCATTAGGTTACCTCCCTCATCCAGTAAGGGCCCCACACCTTCCCTGTTCACCCTCTAATTGCTAACATGACTGCAGAAACCTTTCTTGTTACCCTTCATATCTCTTGCTAGCTGCAATTCCAATTGTGCTTTAGCCTCCCTGATTACTCCCCTACATTCTCGAGCAATATATTTATACTCATCCCTAGTTATCTGTCCAAGTTTTCACTTTTTGTAAGCTTCCCTTTTGTGTTTAAGCTCTCCAAGGATTTCACTGGTAAGCCAAGCTGATTGCCTACCATATTTGCTTTTCTTACTACGCATCAGGATGGTTTGTTCCTGTCCCTTCAATAAGGCTTCTTTTGAATACTACTAGTTCTCCTGGACTCCTTTTCCCCACATGTTAGCATCCCAGAGAATCCTGTCCATCTGTTCTCTGAAGGAGTCACAGTCTGATTTTCTCAAGTCCAGGATATATATTTTGCTACTCTCCTTTCTTCCTTTGATCAGGATCTAGAAATCTACCATCTCATGATCACTTCTGCCCAGGTTGCTACCCACATCTACTTCCCCCCTCACTGTTTGTGAACAGCAGGTCAAACTGCACATGCCCCTGGTTGGTTCCTTCAGCATTTGTACCAGAAAGTTATTCCCAACATTCTCCAAAATCTTCCTGGATTGTCTGTGTACTGCTGTATTGGTCTCCCAGCAGATGTCATGGTGATTAAAGTCCCCCATGAGAACCAGGGCCTGTGATCTAGAAGCCTCTCTTAGTTGTCTGAAGAAAGACTCGTCTACCTTATCCACCTGATCTGGCGGTCTATAGCAGACACTAACCACAACATCACCCCTGTTGCTCCTGCCTCTAAGCTTAAGCCAAAGATTCTCAACAAACGGTCTGGTAGCACTTTATAGACTAACAAAACACGTAGATGGTATCATGAGCTTTTGTGGGCACAGCCCACTTCTTTTCTCCCTCTATATACTGGAGCTCTGAGCTGTCATACTGCTCTTTTACATACAGCGCAACTCCTCCTCCATTTCTCCCCTGCCTGTTCTTCCTGATCAGTGTATTCCCTTCCATGATACTGCTCCAATTATGTGAGTCAGCCCACCAAGTCTCCGTTATTCCAATCAAATCATAGTTCTTTGGCTGTGCCAGGACTTCTAATTCTTCCTGCTTGTTTCCCAGGTTTCTTGCATTCATATACAGACACCTTAGATAACTAGCTGATTGCTCTATCTTCTCAGTATGAAACGGGTTGTCTGTTCTTCCTTTTGCTTCTTCCCAATGTCCCACTCCCCCACTTACCTCAGGGCTTAGGTTAACCACCCCTGATGAAGGAGATGGATGAGAACACAACTTGCACCTCAAATTCCTTGATCCTTCTTCCCAGCGCTACATAATCTGCAGTGGCTTGCTCAAGGTCATTCTTGGCCGTATCCTTAGTTCCTACATGGAAAAGTAGGAAGGCATAGCGGTCCTAAGGCTTGATCAGTCTTGGAAGACACTTGGTCTCATTCTGAATTCTAGCTCCAGGTAAGCAGCACACTTCTTGCGATTCTCAGTCTGGACAGCAGATGGATGACTATGTCCCTCTTAAGAGGGAGTTCCCAACCACCACCACCTGTCTTCTCTCTTGGAGTGGAGGTGGTGGAACCCCCATCCCTGGAACTGTGTATCCCATACCTTCTGGTCAATGGGGTCTCCTTCCAATCCCTTCCCTCAGAGGTCTCTGCCAAAACATTCTCCACCATAGTACCTGTGCAAAGAGCCTGAAAGAGGTTGGTTATTTGTATCGGGATTGGGGATACCTGAGTTGTCTGTCTTCTCCTGGAGGTCACATGCTGCCAATTTCCTTCCCCATTCTGTACTGCCCTATCTGCAGGCACAGCAAGCTGAAGAACCAGCATCAGATGCTGCCTTCTATACAGCAAGTCTTCATCTTCTCTGATGGAACGCAGGGTAGATATTTGAGTCTCTAGTCCTTTAAACCTTCTCTTCCAATATGGAGAGCAGCTTGCACTTGTACAGACAAAATCACTTCTATCTTTTGGGAGGAAGATAAACATGGCACACGCTGTGTGGTTCATAACAGCTGTTGTTTCACTGTTTATTCAGGCCTCTAACAATATTGTATAACTGGTACCCTTTCATCGGTCTGTTTTTTTAATTTTCCACTTAATCTAAACCCTGACTTGGAAGTTAACATGATGCATAAATGAATGAAATATGCCCTAGCACAGACGGTTCTTGCAGTTCACTACACAACTATCTAATTCTCATGTGCTGAGAGCTTTTTGCCATTAACCTCAGGGGGAGCAAGACTGTGCAATAAGATCTTATGTTTGATGGGAGGAATTTTACCCAAATGAGAACATTACTGAACTGAGCATTGAATGCCTTTTTAGTCATAACTCAGCTACAGAAAAAGCTTAACAAGCATGCTTTTTACCTTGCACAGGTACACTTTTTTCCTCCAGTAATACACCTTGCCACTGTTTGGAACTTTTGGGCCCAAACACAGTGGATTTTGTGCCTCTATTAAGTAAAAGTACACCTTTTAAGATGCTTCTTGTTTTATTTAATTTAACTCTAATTAGTACCCCTGTCGAGCATGCGCCAGTGTCCACCAGCTCTGCCTCTGCTGTGCCAGCTGCTTCAAGCAATCAGCCTGCTGCCGCTGCTCAAAACACATGCAATCAGATGACAGCATCATCAGCCACTCCCATCTCAGTAGTACAAGATTCCTTTTCTTCCTCTTTCCAAAGGTAATGCTTTTTTGCATTGTCTTTTTGCACGTCTCCCTGTTTGGTGTTTAGAAGTGTGTGTGTGTGTTGGTGTGTGTATAAGTATACATATAGGGAGGGACAGAGCAGAACTTTATCTAGGGTTGCCAACTCTCTGAGACCAGACAGACAGGATGCCATTTCCACAAATGTCATCTGCTTGGGAGAATTCTCAACCCTAACATGAACAAAGTATGCAGTATATTGAGAAAATATGTCACCTTGTTTTATGTATTCTGAAGCTGAATTTCTTGTTGGAGTGTTGAATTTTTATTTGCAAGAAATTATAAGATTCAAACTCAGCTCTTAGAACAGAATTAATCAAATGTTCTTTTGAGGAACATAATTTACATTTTCAAAAAAAGAAAATCTGATATTAACTGTTTTGTCCCCTATCGTGAGAAGGGTACCAAAGTTGCATAATAATTAAAATGGAAAGTGAAAATCCTTCGGATTACATGACAGCAGAGCACAAATTGTCAAGAAATAAACAGGTTAATAAATTTAAGCGAGCTAGTAGAAAGATCTATATGGTTTTTAATATACCTTAAAGTGACACCTCCTCTTAGAAGGTCAAAGAGGAAAATGCAAAACGCATTTTAACCCTATTGAGTGATACCACAGTGTATAGTAGGATCTTTTTATTTACTACAGCATGTCAGACCTCTGAATTATTATTCCAATCAAATCATAGTTCTTTGGCTGTGCCAGGACTTCTAATTCTTCCTGCTTGTTTCCCAGGTTTCTTGCATTCATATACAGACACCTTAGATAACTAGCTGATTGCTCTATCTTCTCAGTATGAAACGGGTTGTCTGTTCTTCCTTTTGCTTCTTCCCAATGTCCCACTCCCCCACTTACCTCAGGGCTTAGGTTAACCACCCCTGATGAAGGAGATGGATGAGAACACAACTTGCACCTCAAATTCCTTGATCCTTCTTCCCAGCGCTACATAATCTGCAGTGGCTTGCTCAAGGTCATTCTTGGCCGTATCCTTAGTTCCTACATGGAAAAGTAGGAAGGCATAGCGGTCCTAAGGCTTGATCAGTCTTGGAAGACACTTGGTCTCATTCTGAATTCTAGCTCCAGGTAAGCAGCACACTTCTTGCGATTCTCAGTCTGGACAGCAGATGGATGACTATGTCCCTCTTAAGAGGGAGTTCCCAACCACCACCACCTGTCTTCTCTCTTGGAGTGGAGGTGGTGGAACCCCCATCCCTGGAACTGTGTATCCCATACCTTCTGGTCAATGGGGTCTCCTTCCAATCCCTTCCCTCAGAGGTCTCTGCCAAAACATTCTCCACCATAGTACCTGTGCAAAGAGCCTGAAAGAGGTTGGTTATTTGTATCGGGATTGGGGATACCTGAGTTGTCTGTCTTCTCCTGGAGGTCACATGCTGCCAATTTCCTTCCCCATTCTGTACTGCCCTATCTGCAGGCACAGCAAGCTGAAGAACCAGCATCAGATGCTGCCTTCTATACAGCAAGTCTTCATCTTCTCTGATGGAACGCAGGGTAGATATTTGAGTCTCTAGTCCTTTAAACCTTCTCTTCCAATATGGAGAGCAGCTTGCACTTGTACAGACAAAATCACTTCTATCTTTTGGGAGGAAGATAAACATGGCACACGCTGTGTGGTTCATAACAGCTGTTGTTTCACTGTTTATTCAGGCCTCTAACAATATTGTATAACTGGTACCCTTTCATCGGTCTGTTTTTTTAATTTTCCACTTAATCTAAACCCTGACTTGGAAGTTAACATGATGCATAAATGAATGAAATATGCCCTAGCACAGACGGTTCTTGCAGTTCACTACACAACTATCTAATTCTCATGTGCTGAGAGCTTTTTGCCATTAACCTCAGGGGGAGCAAGACTGTGCAATAAGATCTTATGTTTGATGGGAGGAATTTTACCCAAATGAGAACATTACTGAACTGAGCATTGAATGCCTTTTTAGTCATAACTCAGCTACAGAAAAAGCTTAACAAGCATGCTTTTTACCTTGCACAGGTACACTTTTTTCCTCCAGTAATACACCTTGCCACTGTTTGGAACTTTTGGGCCCAAACACAGTGGATTTTGTGCCTCTATTAAGTAAAAGTACACCTTTTAAGATGCTTCTTGTTTTATTTAATTTAACTCTAATTAGTACCCCTGTCGAGCATGCGCCAGTGTCCACCAGCTCTGCCTCTGCTGTGCCAGCTGCTTCAAGCAATCAGCCTGCTGCCGCTGCTCAAAACACATGCAATCAGATGACAGCATCATCAGCCACTCCCATCTCAGTAGTACAAGATTCCTTTTCTTCCTCTTTCCAAAGGTAATGCTTTTTTGCATTGTCTTTTTGCACGTCTCCCTGTTTGGTGTTTAGAAGTGTGTGTGTGTGTTGGTGTGTGTATAAGTATACATATAGGGAGGGACAGAGCAGAACTTTATCTAGGGTTGCCAACTCTCTGAGACCAGACAGACAGGATGCCATTTCCACAAATGTCATCTGCTTTGGAGAATTCTCAACCCTAACATGAACAAAGTATGCAGTATATTGAGAAAATATGTCACCTTGTTTTATGTATTCTGAAGCTGAATTTCTTGTTGGAGTGTTGAATTTTTATTTGCAAGAAATTATAAGATTCAAACTCAGCTCTTAGAACAGAATTAATCAAATGTTCTTTTGAGGAACATAATTTACATTTTCAAAAAAAGAAAATCTGATATTAACTGTTTTGTCCCCTATCGTGAGAAGGGTACCAAAGTTGCATAATAATTAAAATGGAAAGTGAAAATCCTTCGGATTACATGACAGCAGAGCACAAATTGTCAAGAAATAAACAGGTTAATAAATTTAAGCGAGCTAGTAGAAAGATCTATATGGTTTTTAATATACCTTAAAGTGACACCTCCTCTTAGAAGGTCAAAGAGGAAAATGCAAAACGCATTTTAACCCTATTGAGTGATACCACAGTGTATAGTAGGATATTTTTATTTACTACAGCATGTCAGACCTCTGAATTATGTGATGTCGGATGTACCACGTGCAGGATGTCAGCAGATCCATTCATTTGGTAGTTGACTTTTTATAAAGGTGCTAAGGTGATTAACTTCTACTTAACTGTGCTTTTTCTAATAAGATTTAACTATATAATTAATATTGGATTTTAAAAGGAACAAAGATAGTCATTCAGATTCTATTCTTACTTCATTGAGCACTCAATTGTTGTAAATTACTGAGAATTAAACATTAATATCTAGTGTGAATAGACTCCTTAGACTGTGAGGAAAATGGGTGAAGTTTATGATGTTGCCATTTACATAATCATTGTCAAAGGAACAAGAATGAATTCGAGTCACATCTTTTTTCTCAGACAGTTTTTCTCCTAAAAGATCTGAAATACACTTTAGTCCACTTTAAGTGTCCAAGAACAAAAAGTCTCACCTTCAATCATATGAACTACTTGCACATAATGGAGGTGCAAAATGTGACCTACAGTACTATAAAATTACATAATTTGGTAGGAAATGTTCTTTCTGTTCTAAAGCCTGATTTTAGCAGCTAATATCACAAATTTCTTTTTAAATCCTATTTTTACTCTGTATTTGTGTTCTGATGCCATAGAGCCAGACATTCAGCCAGAAAAGAGAGACCAAGCAAAGTACTACACCACATTTTCATAATTATTTTGATAGCATCCTTGCTTAAGAAGCATTTCACATGCAATAATTGTTTAAAGAATTTTAACTCTCAGTATATCTTTACTTGAACTACTACATGAAGAAAATTGAGAATATAATACATTCTTGAAAAAGTAAATCCCTACTCCTTATAGGTAAAAATATAAATAACCTTTTGGCATTGATGACAAAAATGTTCCTAAAACCCTTGTGCTCTTTACCCTGGTAGTAGCCGAATAGTGAAATTTTTGTCTTCACTTCTGATGCAAATATCTTGGTTCTTTCAGGGTAAAGATGTATGCAGTTCACAAAAGATATTTGAACTACCAGCTTTCTTATCTAGTCAGAGTTCTGTTCATATATTTTTTCTATAGTTTGTGTTTTTTCTTCTGTTCTGTAAGAAATGTGCTTGGTTGTGCTATACTGTAAGTCTCCAGATGTATTTCACAGAAAATACATGTGTTGCTGCTAACTATAGAATGGTCGTCTTATACCTGAACTCATACAAGGCTCTATTCTGAGATGTCGCATAGTTCTCCTTGTAAAATTGTTTTGTACTGCTTTTACTGTGTCCTCTGCAGTGTGCTTGCAGGCCCCAGCTCTCTGTCACAGCCTAGCCCTTTCCCTGGGTACAGGAACATATCACTAGCATCTTTCACTCTTTAGTCTGCTGTCTCTGCTCAGTCTAGGTATATTTGCAAACATCTCTCCTTTTTCTTTTTAGTCAGACTTTTTCACTCTTCATTGTTTGCTTCAGTTTAAGGTTCTTAAGTTCTTAAAAAATTGGCTTGGGAGAAAACATTTAAGTGTAAAATTTACTGCCTGTTTGTTTTGATCTTGTCTGAATTAAAACCAAGCTAAAAGAAAACCTTTATCTTTCCAGCATTAAGTTTAAAATATTTGACTGGAAATGTTCTCAAACCTTAGACAGTTAGTTGTATGTAATATTCAAGTTCATTTATGTGGTGTGTGGTATATAAAAGGGAAGGTCCTCTCATGGATTGATAACTAGTTAAGAGATAGGAAGCAAAGGGTAGGAATAAATGGTCAGTTTTCAGATTTGAGCGCGGTAATTAGTGGTTTCCCAAAAGGGTCCGTAGTGGGATCAGTCCTATTCAACATATTCATAAATGATCTGGAGAAAGGGGTAAACAGTAAAGTGGCAAAATTTGCAGATGATATGAAACTACTCAAGATAGTTAAATCCAGAGCACACTGTTAAGACCTTTGAAAGAATCTCACAAAACAAGGTGACTGTGCAACAAAATAGCAGATGAAGTTTTATGTTCATAAATGCAAAGTAATGCATCTT